CTTTATGACCCCCACGTGGGCCGAGATTGGGTGGCCAGGCGCGCGCGCTCAGGGGGTGGTGGCAGCCTCTTTGGCCAGCGAGGGTCCCACTGTGGATGTCTCCGAGGCTGCAGGGTGGAGCATCTTGTCAGGTTCGGGGATGAGTTGCTGGGTTGGTTCTTCCCCGGCCCGCCTCCGCCGCTGTCTCCGCCGTCTCCGCCGCCAGAGAGGGTGTGGTTTCGCCTTCCATTCCCAGGGCTTTTTTCATGACCTGCCTCACCATCTTGGTGACCAGGGACGCATCCACGAGACACACGATTGCCGCCGAGAGACACAGGGACTGTCGGAGACAAGACCATAGCGGGAAGGAAAGGTGGGGTCGCTTGGCAGCTCAGGGGCCTTCCTTTTCCCCCATCCCGGGATGCGGGTGGCCGCTTGTCCCCTCTCTGACCCTCCGCCACCGGCTGCGACCCTTCCTGTCATTCCCAGAGAAAGGAATTTTGGAAATGGTGGGTTTTGCTGACACTAACGACCTCATCTGATTCACGAGGCACTAGGAAAGGACCAGAGAAGGACACTGGACTTAGGAGGCCCCGGTGGGGTCGGAGTCCTGAGATGGCCCATCGTGGACAGGACTCCTGGTTTAGGTTTGAAAGGGCAGGAAAGGGTGCCCGAGGGGACCAGCTGGGAGGAGAACAACAGGTCCTGGGCTGAGGTCTCCGAGGAATCTGGTGTGGCTGAGACCTCGAGAGAGGTTGAGGGAGGAGAGGTGGGGGTCGGACTCAGAAAGCCCTCTCGCTGAATGGAGGGGTGACTGGCCAGTGACCCAGGCTGGGGGCAGGGGGACTAGTGGGAGGTGGTGGGGTCTCCTGCCATCCAGGTAAGAATTGATGGAGACCAGGCGCTAGGAGCCGCTGGCAGGTGGCAGGAGACGTGGTGGCTGAGTTAGCAAATGGGGACCAGCTCCCGTCTGCCTTGGATGTATCTCTTTCTGGTCACGTCATCCCTGGCTGCATAAATGAACTTTTCCCAGGTGGCTCTTGCCCCATCTGATCTGCGAGTTTTCCTGCGGGGAAAGGATTCCATCCCCAGCACAGAGTTCAGGCCTGGCACAATCCAATGGGATTGGCTCATGTTTACTGATTATGGAATGAATTCAAAGAACTTCAACCTTTTTTGGGGGGATTAATTTCTCTTCCCATGGTTTATCCAAGCCTGTGCCATATCTGTACAAATGAGAGTTGTAAAGACTGAGTCCAAACATGCCGAGCCTTGGCCTGGCCTGTGTTGCTCAATGGTTAGAGCGCCAGTCCACCCACTGAAGGGTCTCGGGTTCGATTCCTGGTCAAGGGCATGTATCTGGATTGCAGGTTCAATCCCTGGCCCCCAGGTTGGGTCGGGTCGGGGCACATGTGGGAGGCAACCGATGGATGTGTCTCTGTGTCTCTCTCCTTCTCCCTCCCTCCCTTCCATTCTCTCTGAAAAGCAATGGAAAAAATATCCTCAGGTGAGGATTAACAGAACAAACAGACAAACAAGCCTAGCTTTGTGTGGGGCACTTGCTGGATGCTGGGAAGTAATTTCCTCCCTTGGACTTCCTTCCTTCCCTCCCTCCCTCCCTTCCTTCCTTCCTTCCTTCCTTCCTTCCTTCCTTCCTTCCTTCCTTCTTTCCTTCCTTCCTTCCTTCCTGAATAGGCTGGGTCACTCACTTTTGACAATGCACTCCCTCCTCCCTCACCCTACAATCATTCTTTTCATGTGCTTTTAAAATATTCTCTAGTCCAGCCCGAAAAGTCAAAGTCCTATTTATAGACAAGAATATCTTGTTGCAATGGTTTAATAAATAGTGTATATGATTCTCAAAGGGGATTCAACACTTGCTTTTATCCCTACTTGGAGAATGGGTATTAGAATGAAGATTTTCACGAGCTTAGAATTTGTGTAACTTTACATCTTCTGAAGCTCTTGGTGCAGGAAAGAGAAGGGGTGGTGGTGAGGATGTCCTGTGATTGAAATAATGAAGGTGTGTCAGTTCTCCTTTTTCAAGAGTCGTGAAATCCTCAACTACAAGGGAGTCACAGAGGCCTCTACTTACCCCTCCGACATAGAATAAATGCCTCCTTTCCTTTTCTTGCACTGTCAAGATGGCAACTACGGAAAGGAACACAGTTGTAATGAAGCTGTTGATAAGATCCTGTAATACAGAATTGAAAATGATCAACTTGACATGAAAATGTAATTTCATAAAATATTTAAATTGGTCAGTTACCTATCTAGGGATGGATGTCTGTTGCAAACGTTCCCTCTGATTACTATTAAGAGGAACCCCCAGCAGCATAATTCTTAACATCTTCCAGAGACACAAGTTTATGTGATTTTAAGGTCCTAGATAGGACTTTGTCAGCAGAAATGGGTTTAATTTCATTAAAGAACACCATTAAAAAAAATAAAAGCTGACAGCTTTTCCATCAGACTTTTCTTAAAGGCCACAGAAAGTGAGCATGAAAAAACCTAGAGGCTTAGGGGCCTAGCTCAAATTGGTCTTCCAAAAATATGATTTTCTGAAGCCTTATATTTTAAATTAATTCTGAATTCTATTCCGCAATACATTTGTTTTAATATAAAAATAAAATTTTAGGCCTGGCGGATGTGGCTCACTGGTTGAGTATTGACCTATGAAACCACCGTCTGATTCCCAGTCAGGACACATGCCCGGGTTCCAGGTTTGATCCCCAGTGGAGCGGGGGCGGTGCACAGGAGGCAGCTGATCAGTGATTCTCTTTCATCATTGATGTTTCTATCTCTCCCTCTCCCTCCCTCTATGAAATAGAAATATTTTAAAAATTAAAATTTTGGATTAGGACTTTACTGATTTAATTCCATTCCCAAAATCTTTAGGTAGAACCGATCCTTTAGAAGTTGGGTTATATTTAGTCTGTAGGTTCACACGCCCTGAGAAGGCAGGAACCCTTCTGGGGAGCAGGCCTGATATTCTGGAGTGAATGCCTGTGCTGTTGTTGACTTTTGCGCTTCCCTAAGACACGGCCACAGTTGAGCCTGCCCTGACATCTGTGCCAACATCCTTCCTCCTGGGTTCTTTAACTGCTAAATAAAGGGTGAGGATGAATGGGTGGGGGCACAGCCCGGAGTATAAGGAGAGGCTGGGCTTTGGTGGTGGAGCAATAATGGAAGACGGTGCTCCATGTGTCCGTGGCGCCGGTTTGTGGGGAGGGATTCAACAGCCCAGGGCGATGGAATCATGATATGGCCCAGGTAGCTAATTTGAACATGTTTAGCCTTAAAGTGGCCTGACTTAATAGTATCAACCCGTCTGGTGTACTTGCCCAGATAGAGCCAGGAGCCTGCCATCCAGTGTATGGAATCACAGTGGCTCTTCAAGGTGCCAAGCTCTTCCCAGTCATGATCTCATGTAACCCTCATAAGCACCCTGCACAGTGAGTATCATTGTGAGGCTGTGACAGAGGCTCGGAGGGGTTTATTAAATTGCCTAAGACTGGAGTCAGGGACTCCCACATAGGAAGGAAGTGCAGCCTCCATCTTTGTCATTTTCTGTGGAAAGGGTCACGGAGGGTCAACATAGATGGAACAAAAACGGCGAGAGTGCTTTTTGCTGATGTCATTTGCTGAGCTCATTTTGGGCCTGCCAATTCCCAGATGTGTGACCTGGGGCATGCCCTTTCACCCCTCCTGTGCCAGCCTGCTGATTTTTAAGATGAAGCTGATGATTGGGATTCGTTGGGTTGATCTGAGGATGACGTGGCATAAGGAATCTGAAAGCAGCAGGCAAGTGCCTGGCAGCTAGTGGGCAGTGGGCGTGCATCAACACCTAGATTCGTGATATCTGTTCTCAAAAGGTGCACAGAGAGTAAACTTCCAGCAAATGCCAGGTGTTCTTCCTGTTGAGATTGGCAAGCAAGGAGCCTTTGGGTCAAATGTGAACCTGCTTCTCGGAAGGGCACTCGTGTCTATTATTTGGGCACCTGGTGGGTAACACTGTCACGGGGACCTGGAGCAGGGCTGGGGAGGGTCGGAAGTGAGTTCCAGTGCGTTCTCTAGGCTGGCTGATCGGTCTGGCTACTGTGGGACAGGTACGGCGGGGTGCAGCGTCGTACCTGAGGACTGTGCAAACTAAGGTATTCGAAGATGTGAACAAGGCCTCTCGTAACTAAGAAGCAGAGTGTAGACTTTTTAAGATAAAAATTAACTAGCCGTGGTCATAGGCCATTGTGAATTTGGATGGAAGTATATTAATCATGATAATGGTAATAAACCGAATGTAGACTGGCCCTCCCCAGCCAACCGCGGATTCCCCATCATGATCCCACTCCCCTCATTGGACGACTGGGCGTTAGGGTTTACTGTGATCCTTCCTCAAAAGGAAGCACTCTCCTCCACTGTCCCTTGGAGCTCGTGTCTGCCTTGTACCCAACATTTCTATGGTAGCTCACATTTCTTGAGCACTTACTATGTGTCACATACGGTGCCAAGGTGTTAATACATGATCTCATTTGATTCTCACAACAAACTTCCCTTATCCCCAATTTACAACTTGGGGAAGCAACTTGTGGGGGGTTGTTCAGCCAGTGAGTGGCTCTGACCCTCAGCCGTCCGACTTGATTGCCCAGGGCCTTCTCCTGACTAACCCCACTTCCTTTTTTGCCGGAGACACAGACCCTCTTATTGGCCTGCCTCGTACTTGACAAAGATATGTTCTCCTTAATCGGGTAACATTGCCGCTGAGCCTTGCAACACGCAGTAGGACTTCTGGTTGGTTTCCCTGTAAATGCCATCCTTATTCACCATCGGTTCTCTCCCTCTCCCCCGCCCGCCGTGGCTAAATACCCTATTGATGCAAGTAGCCTCTGCTGAGCGGAAAGGAGAGGCGGGTTTGTTACTTGTCAGTTGTTTTCCTTAAAGCTCTCAGGCTGTTCTCTGAGATAAACAAAGCGGTGTCAAATTGTAACTGGGAAAGAAAAAGGTGCTGTACTGTCGAATGCTTATTTTTAAATATCGCTATCAGAAAGAACGTCAAACGTTTACATTTGTTTTTACAAAATGTGGAATTTGTAACAAGCATTTTATACACGGTCAACATTAGGTGGTGGTCAGCTAGCTGCAGCTTTCCTTGGTTCCACTTGTGTCTGGAGTTCTCCAAACAGGCGGCGGCGTCTGATCAGAAATCGCCAGAACTGGTGTTTTTCATGCATCTGACTTGAAGGGGACATTCTAAAGTGGATGCCTCTCACTTTTTAATGTAAAGACATTGCTGGTGGTTTAGGAATCATCACTTCTATAGAGCTTTATTTGAAAATATATTTATTATGTTCTTTTAAAAAAAAATTGCTTCCTACTGGCAAAAACATCTGCTTGACCAGGACTCCATTTCTCTGACCATACTGGGTAATATTTTTTACAATGTAGAAGTGTTAAAAATAGAGGCTGTTCAGAAGCCAGTGATTATAGTTCATACATTTCTTGGGTATATTGACAGGTGATACTAGACGATCGTGGCTATAATTGGTAATGAAGTTGAGAAATGAAGAGAGTGACTCCACATTGGGGGAGGGGGGTATGAGGGAAGCTGTATTCTAACTCGCTCTGATTCAGAGCTGCGCTGATGAGTCAGGGGCTAGCTGAGAGTTGGATCGGCACCCTCCCCATGGGTGCCAGGGTCCCTGGCACAGCCTTCACCCAAGCGAGAAGCTGCACTTGAGACTGGGGTGTGGGTCCCCAAGCCCAGGCTCCATCATATCTCCAGAGAAGGAGACCTTGCCCAAATCGGGTCCCAGAGTCTACAGACCTCAGTAGGTCATCTAGGCGAGGCCAGCGCTCGGTGGTGCTGTCCTGCTGAGGGTCTAAGCCTTAATTCCTCAGACTTTCTACCTCCCTGCTGGGGACTCTCATCCTTAGCCCATTACCGAACAAGGGTGGGAATAACGGAATCAGGAACTTTCTCTTCCTGTGAGCCTTTAAGGAAACTGACACTTAAAATCAGTACTCCTGCCCGGCCGGTGTGGCTCAGTATGAGAGTCGACCCATGAACCAAGAGGTCACCGGTTCGATTCCTGGTCAGGGCACATGTCCCGATTGTGGGCTTGATCCCCAGTAGGAGATCGGCAGGAGGCAGCCGATGGATGATGTTTCTCTCTCTCTATCCTCCCTTCCTCTCCCTCTAAAAATCAATAAAAACATTTAAAGTCAGCACTCTGTACCCTAGTCCTTTGCCCCCTGGGCACTAAACCATCTTGCCTGGAGGGAAGGGCGGAAAGTGGCAGCTGGGCCCGCTGGACCCCTGTAGTGTGTGGGCGGGGCTTCAAGCCGTGACAGTGTGAACCGGGCCTCGTGTTCTCTGGCTTGCTGCACTGACCCTTCGTAAAGGTCCCAGGTGACTCCTGCAGCTTGATGCCAACCTGTCTCCAAGCCCGCCTGCTCCTGAAGTTTCACTTAGTCACCTCCTGGGCTGATACCAGTACTGTCCCTAAGCCCGCATATTTTAAATCGGGCCACGGCCTCCCTGTGGGAGCTATTTACCCTCTGAGCAATCGCCTATATTCCTGTCCTTCATCTAATGGGATCTGAAAGGGCAGATTAGGAAGGAAAGGAATGGATAGGAGAAGAGAGTACTTTGGGATCTTGTTCTGATGGGTGTTTTGAGAAACCTTCCAAGTCAATTAGATCACTCACCACCTGATCAACTATGTTGGTTAGTATGTGGCTGCTTAGTATGTGGGCTGCTAGTTAGCTGGGCATCGGAATAACTGGGCAAACGTTGTGGTAAGACCAAGTTTCCCAGCTATGAAGCTCCTGGGAGTTCACCAGGCGTATCCCCGTGCTGGTCCAGGCCCTGGCCTGCACCCTGGAGGACAGGAGCGAGGAAAAAGCAGGGGCTCGGAGTCGCCCTCTGGGCTCCCGGAGCCATCCACAGAAAAGAGAATGCTCTCGCCCAGGCAGAGGTAGCAAAAGGGGGCCTGGCTTGATCAGAGTTCACCAAGGCCTGCAAAGGTACAGGGCTGGTCTGAGCTGCCCGTGACCACTGCGAGAACAGCTCCTCTCCCAGGACCTTCGTGGTTCATGCTTAAGAGATCCACCTCTGGCCTCTAACTAAGACATTCCCTGGACCGCCCTGGGCCTCGCAGCCAGGCATGGGGCCTTGAGGCTCTCTCCAGCTTATTGGCAGTTGACCGGATCCTCCTGCCCACGGCTCTGACCTTGGTGCTGTGGGGCCCTCAGTCACCACTCCCAAGGGCCTCTCCCCCCCACATCCCTAGGACAATCAGTCCATCCTTGGCTCCAAATCTGAAGGAAACCAAGAGGAAACAGGACAAGATACAGAGAACATACAATTCTGAGACTCTGGGGAGAACAAAGATGTAGGGAGGGTGGAAACAGAGAAACCATCACAAGCAACAGGGCAAAAAGCCCCAAAGAATCTGAGCTTCGGAGTCTGCCAGACCTGGGTTCAAATCTGAGTTTCCACGCCTACACATGACCATGGGCAACTCAATCCTTCAGTCCAATGTTCTCCCCTGTCAGACGGGGCATTTTGGGGGGGGGGTGACTACAACCTCATCGGGCTGTTGTGAGGATTAAACAAGGTGAGACACATGAAAACGTATCTGGCGCATGGCATGTGCTCAGAAAGGTACTTTACCTTCCCTTCTCGGACATTTCCGTGGACAGAGATTTCAGTTTCCTCCGAGAAACCTCTCCCTGGTTAGAACTCTCCACCACTAACAGGGTCTTCATGTGTCCAATGGGAGCTGCTCAGAGCTTGCTTTGTCTGCTTCCTGTCGCTCAGCACTCGGTGGGACAGAGCTCAGCAGCCTTTTCAGAAAATCCCTCAGACACTTGAAGAAAACATTTGAGTTTTAGCTCCATAGCAATCAATTCTACCTTAAGGCTAGAGGATGGTACTGTTAGGGAGCGGGGTGTGGACGAGGTCTGAGCTCAGAGTGAGGATTGTCCGCAGTGCGAATCCAACTGGTAAAAGCCACCCTTTGAGGGAAAAGAACCTTCTAGGGTCTGCTGGACACTTCGTAATGAATCTTTACTGGGTGCCACGCGTTGTGCTAGTTGCTTTAAACACATTTAGGTGTCACAGGAGCCCTGTGAGGCAGTGATGATGATCACACTTTTCCTTCCCTGATGGGGAAACTGAGGCTGACGTTCACAGAGCCAGGAACGAGGCCCATGTCTATACCCAAACAAAACTGAATTCCCTCTCCAGTCTGAGGTTGCAGACTCAGGCTCCACAATAAATAGCGTTGATCTGAGACCGGAGGGATTAGCTTCAGGAACTTTCAGTTGCTAAAGACGCTGGGATGCCGAAGCAGCTAGAACGTGCCATGTCCTTTCCTGAATACTCTACCATCCGGCACCCTTTGGGGAGTACGGACCCTTAACACACATGGAAAGGTTGACTCCTGCAACCTTTCAGACCATTTCCTATACCTCTGCCGTGTCCGCTCCTGCTTTTAAGGGGCGTGTTTATAATGTTAGAGAGGGTGCTGTTGGAAAAGTGGAAGCATGTCTTTTACAAGCAATCGGTAAGACGTGTGCCGACTGACTATATGAATTAAAAATTTCTTTCGGACAAGCCGCGAAGCGCCACATGTTCAGAACCATAATGAGGGGGAAGCAGGTGTGTGCGTGCTGGTTGCCCCGTAGACAGAGGGGCCCAAGGCTAGTTTCTCCCCGGGGACAGGTAGCACCCTCACTGGCAGAGCTCAGCTCTGTCCTTGTCCAGAGAGATAGCTCTGGGTGTTTTCACGTACAGAGGGCCTCTACTCTGGGGCTGAGGGCAAAGCTTATATTTGAATGATGAAAAGGAACACTTACAAGTAAGGGCCAGTGTATATAAGTCAGCAAGTGGTGAAGGGTTAGCATGTATATTATAATAAATAAAATAACGATGAAGACTTCCAGAACTGTGATTGCTATGAATGAGTCTTGGGCTTCAGAGATGATGAAACAAGTTAATGCTGCTATGAGAAGACCCTGCAGTAAAAGAAACAGGTTTTGTTTTAATGCACATGGACGATTAAAACACACAACACACACACACACACACACACACACACACACACACACACACACACCATAAATTGTCAAATGCAAATCTGATTATATTGAAATTGCCTGTATTGTCTTGAACATACACTTTATTTTTAAAAATTTTTGTACTTTTAAGAAATGAAATAATACACACAAATAATGAAAATGCACACAGTAGAGGAGGGTAAAAAAATGTCAGTTCCTTTCACCTCCCTTAACCCAACCCTAGTCTGTCTCCTTAAAAGTAGCCACTGTTAACAGTGTATATTTTTTTTTTACCAGAAAGAAGTATGTATATACAGATAGAGAAAGTAGATATTGATTCTGATAGAGTAAGGGAGAAGTCTAGCTTGCTTTCTCTCCAAATAGCTGCGGATGATCCCAACATCATTTATTGGGAAACACCATTATTTCCCCCACTGACTTAATAGCCAGGTTTTATTATTCACTAAATTCTCAGGTGAATTGGGTCTTTTTTTGAGACTGTTCTCCTCCATTGATTAGATGATTTCTTTTCTAGTACTTTTGAAATGACAGGAAGTTTGTTTTATATCGTATTATCTGACCTTTCCATACTCATTCTCAGATTGTTTTATGCCTCCCATGCTTGTCTTGGTCAAGTTCCCCAATTAAGCCTTTTGGTAGTATTTTTATTGGGGTTTCATTTAATTTATAATATGGAAAAGTTATTGCAAAATTTGGTCTTGCTATTCAAGAACAAAGTGTGTCTTTTTTGTTATTTTAGTGGCTTTTAAATATCTCTCAATAGAATTTTAAAGTTTTCTTCATATAGGTCTTTCAAATTTATTTCATTTAATCTTAGATTCTTATTTTGACTACTGTTGTAAACAAAACTATTTTCTTTTATTTGAAGTGCTTGTTTGCTCATTTCTACTAATGAGCTAGTAGAAGTTACCTTATTCTAAACTGTTTCCCAGTTGACTTGGAGTTTTTTAGATATCAGCTGGAAGAAATGATATATTTTGTCTCTCTTTTCAAAATGTTCTTATTTCTCTTTCCTAATTGTGATGACTAGTGGTTCCAGAAAAATATTAAGTAACAGCATTGATAGTGGGCATCGTCTTTGTTCCTCATTTTAATGGGAATACTTCTGATGTTTAATTTATATGATGCTGACTTTTGGGTTTGTTTTTACAATGTCAGTGAAATACCTATGCATTTCTATTCTACTGGTCTCTTCTCTCTTACTCTCTCTCTCTCTCTCTCTCTCTCACGAAATCAGAGATGAATGTTGAATTTTATCAAATGTATTTTGGACCCTACTTGTACTATTTTTTCTCTTTGTACTTATGATATATGTGGTGGATTAGTTTAATATGGTTTTAATGTTGAATCATCTTATGTTTCCTCTTCATGGTGTAATTTTCAAAAGTTCTGATGAATATTCTCTGCTAATATATGAATATTTATGGCTTTGATACAAGTGAGATTTCCACTTTGATTTCTTTTTCTGAACTTCGTCAGGTTTTGATTATCACTGCTATATTGACTTTGTAAAAATAGTTCAGAAGTGTTTTTTCTCTGTTCTTTGAAAAACTTGGAATAGCACCAGAATTACATCCCCTGAAGGCTTGAAAGAGTTAACCTGTGCAGACATCCGGCCGGATGTATTTTTGAAAGATACTCATTTGACACTACGGTGTCGGGTGAATTTCCCGCCAAAATATAAGATGGCGCATTAAAATGCCTATATCTTTTGAAGTATGGGTTCGATTGAAATGAAATATTTGGTAATACGCAGTTACAATCGGCCCGAGTTTACACGTTTCCCGCACTCCACCGCAAATCTATATGAACCGAGTTTTAAGACGGCTCCCGCGGAGTACGCGCAATTCACGCGAGCCGACTTAACTCGTTTCCCGCAACCCAAGTGTTGATACGTTCTCATTTTCTTCTGTGCTCATGTTGGGCTGTTTAGGTTTTTCTCTTCTCTGGGATCACTTTTGGTGATTTGCATTTTCCTAGAAAAATCAACTATTTCATCCAGTTATTCAAACTGATTTGGATCTTTTCCGTTTTATCGGGGTTTGAGATTATTTTCCCTTTCTAGCTTCTAACTTTGAATATAGGCCCTCTCCTCCCCCTGTGCCCGTTATATTGGCCAGAGGTTTATCAACCTTATTGGTCAGTTCTATTATTTGTGTTTGCTAATTTACACACTTCTGCTCTCATCTTCCTTGCTTCCCTAATTCCCTTTGTGAGGGGAAACCCGAGAAATGGAAAAGTAGGACGGGGGGAAAAAAAGAAGCCAGCTTTCGTAGTAAGGTTCGAGTGTGTGTAAGGAACAAGAAGGGAGGAGGAGGAAGGGTGAGGCAACCTGGGGCGGGGGTGGGGGGGTGGGGGTGGGGGAGGTGAAGAAAGGGGACATCTGTAATACTTTCAACAATAAAGATAAACAACAACAAAACCAAGAGGAAAGTAGGGAAGGTTTCCTAAGGCCGAGGCAGGTCTGCGTCTGCCCTGCTTGTGCCCAGCCTCTGCCCAGCCGAGTCCCCAGCTCTCTCTACTCACCAGCCGCACGATCTTCAGCGCTCCCGTGGGTGAGAAGAAAAAACGCTTGATGCTGTCCCGGAACCTGGGTGGGACCTTGGTCCGGCCCGCCGCGCGCTTTTGGATCGCCGCCTTCTCCCACTCGCTGGGGGCCGCCGGTTCGCCTGGCTTCTGGTCTGGGGCCTTCTTGGGGCCTGCGGGTTTCCCTTTGGGTCCTGGGTGCACCGAGCGTATGGACGGCGTTGAGCGTTTGGGTTGATTCTTTGCGGGTGCGCTGCGCCCGGGGCGCCCCGAGGCGCTGTCTTCAGGTCCCATCGCTTCAGAGGTATACATGGTGGGCCCCGGGCCTGGCTCTGTTAGGTTGGCCCTGCGCCTCTGACCCTGCTCTGCGGCCGCCGGCTCTCCCACGGCCCCCCGGCGTCGCGCCCCAACGGCTGCCGCTGCCCACCCCTCGCGCGCACCCAGCTCTCCTGCCCGAGGGCGCACCTGACTCTCCAGCCACCCTCCTGGGCACCCGGGTTGCGCCCTTGCCTCGCGTGGGAACTCAGGGTCGCAACCCCACCCCCACCTCCGTGCTACCAGCCAGCCAGGTGGCCCCGGGGGCTTCCTCTCTGCCCCCCCACCCCCCCACCCCCGCTTGCCCCAGGGGCGGACAGCCGGGCTGATGGCATCCAGGCTCCCCGCAGCGCTTGGAGGGCGCAGTCCAGGTGACGCGCTGGGCGATCTCTCCCTCCGGCTCCCATATGGAGACGAAGGTGAAAGCAACTGCAGGAACCACGTGGAGAAAATAGATGCGTTTAATACTGGGCAGGTCTATACAATGACACAGTTTATATTTCGTCGTGAATAGCTTTTTTCTGATAGGGACCGCTTGGGTTAAAGAGAAGCTTCCGGTAAATGAGAGCCGCGTCCGCGATGCAGCACACCACCGCCAGGAGGCCGAACACCTGGAGACAAGACACAGCGTCACTGCCGGCCGCCACCGACTCTGTCTCCAAGGGGTCTGCCCACCGGGCCTCCTCTCCTGCTAGGGCACGGGCATTGCTGATACTATGACGGGAAGAGAACTCAGAGACCATTTTATTCTCACTGCAAAGTTTTCCCAATGCCTGCCCAGAGAAAGGGAAAATATCATGTTAGTGAGCAGAAGTGCTATTGAAGGGGTGGGGGCTCTGAAATAAAGACTGGTCTGGATCTCTCTCTCTTTTTAAAAAAATATATATTTTATTGATTTTTTTTTACAGAGAGGGAGGGAGAGGGATAGAGAGTTAGAAACATCAGTGAGAGAGAAACATCGATCAGCTGCCTCTTGCACACCAACCAAGGTACATGCCCTTGACCAGAATTGAACCTGGGACCCTTGAGTCCATAAGCTGACACTCTACCCACTGAGCCAAACCGGTTATGGCTGATTTGGATCTCTTCACTTGCTCCTGGAATGTACTGTTTCAAGACCTACTGCTGACATTTAGTTATCAGTTAACATGTCTATCTCCAATGGTCCACTCTTTGCCTTTCCTACTGCAAACGCTACTGGAGAAGGGGTCAAAGTTCACACCAGCTCCAAGAGGAAAGGGTGGTGCTAGTAGCTGTGATGAAAGCTTTGGAGAATAGGAGTGATAAGATTACCTCAAAGGCTTGGCCCTGTTCACATAAGGGGCGGGACTCTAGGCCGTGGGAAAATAAAATTGAGGTCAAGGGAATGAACGAGAGTGTGGTCTTCAAGCACGCTGACCGCTATCTGAGAGCTGGTGCCTGGGCTGGAGAGGGGGCACTCCTGCGTGCTATTTGCTCGGCTCCATCTAAAGGCCTGGAAGTCTGGCTTTCTGGCTCCAGACACCGCTCCATTTCCACCCTGAATCTCGAGCGTGGCTTCCTAGGTTCTGACCACACGAAGTACCTTCTACCTATGCTTTCATGACTCTGGTACTCTCCACACATTGCTGGTTCCTCCACCTGGGAAATCCTGCCTCCGCCCCCCCCCCCCCTTTCTCCCTTGATTCCTGGCAAACTTTGATTCCACGGCCAGAGAGTTGTAGCTTCCTCTTTTCTGTGCCCCAAACACTCTGTTGACAGCTCACATACAGCTGTTCACACTTCTGTCTCCTGCATTAGGCTCTAAGTAACTTGAGGAAAGGGCTCATGTTCTAGTCCAGTGCCGTCCCAAAGAAATAAAATGTGTCACCAAGCCCGGCCAGCGTGTCTTGGTGGTTGAGCTCCAGCCTATGAACCAGGAGGTCACGGTTTGATTCCTGGTCAGGGCACATGCCCAGGTTGTGGGCTTGATCCTCAGTAGAGGGCATGCAGGAGGCAGACAATCAGTAATTCTCTCTCATCATTGATGTTTCTATCTCCCTCTCCCTTTCTCTCTGGAATCAATTAAAAAAAAATGAGTGAATGAATGAATGAGTAAATAAGTGGGTGAAAGTGAATCCTATGCCTGGGTGGCCCCTCTTTCTCCATAGTAGAGGGTAAGATTATCTTTAAAGACCACTGGGGACCTTGCTGTTCCAGCACTGTTTCATTTCTAGAGTAATTCCCATCCCTCGTGAAGTTGCTTAGGGCCTAATAAGGGAGAGGAAAAGCCATGGATTCTGACATACATGGCTATCTGAGAGCGATCAGTTCTCCTAAGCGGTCCATACTATGAAAAGACAAGGAAGTAGGAGGGAGATTTATTTAATAACTTTCTAATTCACTTCTCTAGATCAGAACCTAGAAAAGCCAAATGATTTTGAACCTCCTATAAGAAATCTCAGAAGAGTATCAGATGGGACTGTTTTGACATTTTTTTTTTATTTTGCCTTCCTTGCTTTCCAGGATAAAGTCTGGTTACACTGATTTGTGTCTCATCAGAGTTCAAAATCATTCTTTAGTTAATAGGCTTCGTACCACGATTCCCTTATCACGAGAAATCTATTATATTCCCTCTGAGGAAGGATCTGGACAAGAAATAACTGAGCTCAGAATAGTCTGTCTCACCTTAACAAGTGGTACGATTTTTTAAAAATGTTTTATTTTCTTAAATAAATATATTTTCATTGACTTCGGAGAGGAAGGAAGAGGGAGAGAGAGATAGAAACATCAATGATGAGAGAGAATCATTGATTGGCTGCCTCCTGCACGCCCCACACTGGGGATTGAGCCGCAACCTGGGCATGTGCCCTGACTGGGAATCGAACTGTGACCTTCTGGTTCATAGGTCAATGCTCAACCACCGAGCCACACTGGCTGGGCAGTATGTATTTCTATTTTTTTTTATTTTTAAAGGGAGAACTATGATAGTTATTCATGGTGTTTTTGCTTGACATCAAGCTTCTCAAAGCTAAGTATTATAACTGATTCTTGTAGCTCTTCTCAGTCTAGGTTTTCTCAGCCTAGTCTAGCCCTACATATCTATGAGAAGTATGTAGGAGCCTTGTTATTTAGTTAACTTCATTTTTATTGTGACACCATATTCCTTCAGGGCATATATTCATACAAAAAAATATTAAGCCACTGGGTGCTGTAAGACCTGGGAGGACCAAGGATGAATACAGTATAGCGTTCTGTCCTTGTATCTGTTTTTTAAATAAATTGAATTCTGATCAAACCTAAAGGAAGAAACCAGAAAGGCCTCCACTTACCCCTCCAAGGACCGTATATTTCGTGGTTTCTGGTATCAGTGCCAACACAGATATGATTATCATGAATATTGCTGCTACCAGTGAGTTGAGAATATCCTGAAAACGCAGAATAGAAAGGTCAGCTTTACATGAAGATTACAGACACACACACACACACACAGTAGGAAAAAAGAAGAATGAGCTCCCCAAAGATATACATAGTTCCATTTTATTAAACAAATTTATTTAGTGTTTATCTTTTTAGAAAATCAAACCGCTACAGTAAAATGACACCTATATTGTGTTTGGTCTACAAGGACGGCTAGTCGTCCGCTTAACCTAGAATACACCAATCATTGATTTACTTAACGGGCTTATTTATTTTTTACTTAAACGTAGTTGGAGGGAAACTCCTCTGGTTAGGAGTAGACGATCTAACACGTGGGAGGTTTAAGGTAAAAAGGTGCATTGGGCAGTCAGGATGCTCAGTTGTAACAACGTGAGAAGTGTGAAGTGGTCGACACTGTAAACCGAACCACTTGATAATGTTACTGAAATGCAGTTCATGAAACTAAAAGCAGTGCATACTTAGGAGCAATTTCTTAATTTTCAGGAAGCAACTCCCACACATCTGCATGCGATGGTTGGCCAATTGAGCTCTCATTTCTGAGGAGGTAGCTCATTCATGATGTCTTGAAAGGAAGCATTCCCCTTCTGAACTGTGGCTTTATGGGGTTGCAGCTTACGTTTTGAATGGAGGATAGTGTGGGAAAGGTAAGTCACCTCTATTCTGGAATCACTTATGTATGCCTATAGGTAACTAGAGACAGGAAGGAATTAACACAGAAATATCAAACTTCAAAACCCTGGTAGCTCAAAAAAGTAGTGATTCCAAAGGAAACAGGAAAGAAAGAGGGTCAGTGGGGGCAGGTCAAGATGAGGTATACTTAGGAAGAAAACACTTCTCATTTGCAGGAGATGCTAAGACTACCTGCCCCAGGTCAGTGTCCCAGGTCAGGGCCCCTCGGTGCCGGACACCTTGCTCTGCTTCAAGGCAACTGACCAGGCAGCCCTGCTTCCCGGAGTGACTTGGGTATGTGTGTAGGAAAGGCTTTGGATGAAAGGCGTTAGTGTTCTAGATTCTGCAGAGAACCACAGGAAAAAGGAGGGTGCACCTGCCCGGGAACATGGGTCTCCCTTGGGTCCTCTCTGGTCTTTCTTTGGCCACGCCCTTTTCTCGCCCCATATGTTGGTATTTCCCAGTTTTACCTTCAGCTTCCTCTACACTCTCAGAGCCATTCAGGCCAGTCCCCAAACTTATTTCCATCCCAAGGGAATGTGATGACTCTCCAAGCCGCAGCTCTTACTCCTCTCTCCTAAGCTTCACATCCTTCCTGAACATTTCCATCTGAATATCCCACACGCAAGGAAAACCTAGTATTCCTCCAACTGAACTCACCACCTACCACTCTCCTCGATCCTTCCTCAAACCTAATCTTCCTCCTAGACTGCCTATCTCATTTTCCTCTTAAGATAGTTATTCAAAGGGCAGGCATCCTTGATTCTCCTTGGTTACTCAGTTATCTCTCTTGGTTATCTCTCAGGCCTGCCTCTAGTTTTGTTCCATTTCAAGCCATTATGGATCCTGTCGCCAGTGCCATCTCCTAAAATGTAAGTTGATCATGTCACTCTGCTACCTGATCTTTCTTTAAAATTTTTTAAAAAATTGATTTCAGAGAGGAAGGAAGAGGGAGAGAGAGATAGAAATGTCAATGATGAGAGAGAATCCTTGATTAGCTGCCTCCTGCACACTCCCTACTAGGGATGGAGCCTGCAACCTGGGCATGTGCCCTGACTGGGACTCGAACTGTGACCTCCTGGTTCATAGGTCAATGCTCAACCGCTGAGCAAAACCGGCCGGGCTGATACCTAATTTTTCAAAAGCTTCCACTGGCCTTTGGGTTAAAACCCAGGGCATACAAAACCTTGTGTGCTCTGACCTCCTACTGCCTCCCAAGCCTCTACTCTTGCCCCCTCTCTTCTTTCTAGCTCCATACTCCAGCCATTCAGAGCTACCTGCAGGTCTTTGAGGGCCATGCTCTTTCTCCCCCCCCACCCCACCCCTCGCATACTTGGGTCCCTCTACTGGAAAAGCCCTTCCATCCCCATATCAGTCTGCTAACGACTTTTCATCCTTCAGCCCTCAGCTCAGGCCTGTTATGATTGGTCCCCTTCCCTGGCTGGGTGCCTCTACACCCTCCTGGGTGCACATCTATACAGCACCTGTCACACTGAATTGCTCATCCACCTTTCTTCCTGGTGACACTGAAAGTTTCTCAGGTACAAGATTTGTGTTTTGTCTTATTAAAGAACCCATCACAGAACCTGGGATGAGCAGATACTGAACATTTGGTGACTAAATGAATTCGTTAGATCAAGAGCAGAGAGGAATCTGGGTATCATAATGGAGTAATAACTTAGTTGACCATATAGCACCATCTTGAAAAGATTACAGTATCAGCAAAGTGTGATCCTCAGAGATTTAGGGACCACTTTCAGTAAGCTACCCATAGTCCACTGTCCCCCTCAGTGCATTCTGTTAAATGTAGGGCTCCAAGTTTGTTACCTGTAAGAAGCTCCAGAGAATTATTAGTTTGGAGGAAAATGCTAAAATGTGTTAAGTTTTAATAACCCTGGAAAAGCAGAGTATGAAGAGCAACTAGTCCAGCTTTTCAAGCACAAGATTAAAAGGATGTGGATCAAGTTCATCATCTCCTTGAGGAAATCCTTGGGATCAGTTAGCTTAGGCCTTTCTGCCACTAGATGATGGTATATACTCTGAGGACCAACTGATGAAGGCTTTTCATCTCTTCTCCTACCTAGACCTCCCTTGAGATAGGTCCAGCTCTATAGTGTGGATGAAGGTGTTTGGAGGGATGCTGTGAAGGTCCTAGCTAATTCCAAGCTTCACCCTTTTGGGATTTCTCAGCTTGTAATTAGCTTGAAATGATCATCATTGGCCTTAGAAGGTGGTTTCAGAAGGTACCACTTGAAGGCATGCTTCTGGTTTGAGAATAGCTCTCAAGTCCTCTTTTTTTAAAAAAATATATTTTATTGATTTTTTACAGAGAGGAAGGGAGAGAGATAGTCAGAAACATCGATGAGAGAGAAACATCAATCAGCTGCCTCCTGCACATCTCCTACTGGGGATGTGCCCGCAACCCAGGTACATGCCCTTGACCGGAATCGAACCTGGGACCTTTCAGTCCGCAGGCCGACGCTCTATCCACTGAGCCAAACCGGTTTCGGCTCAAGTCCTCTTTTTTAAACAGGGGTTATCAGCCTGGAGATCACTTCAGGCGGAGGAGACAGGTGCAGCAGAGGGTCTTAGAAGGGAGACCTCTGGAGATAGGATGCTGGGGAGAAGACTTGAGAGAGGAGACAGAGTTGAAGTCATTCATTTTCTCCTAGAACAGCGGTTCTCAACCTGTGGGTCGCAACCCTCTGGGGGTCGAACAACTCTTTCACAGGGGTCGCCTAAGACCATCGGAAAGCACACATATAATTACATATTGTTTTTGTGATTAATCACTATGCTTTAATTATGTTCAATTTATAACAATGAAAATACATCCTGCATATCAGATATTTACATTACGATTCATAACAGTCTTCAAAATTACAGTTATGAAGTAGCAACGAAAATAATTTTATGGTTGGGGGTCACCACAACATGAGGAACTGTATTAAAGGGTCGCGGCATTAGGAAGGTTGAGAACCACTGTCCTAGAACCAGCTTAGAGTACAGACTGCAGGACCAGATACACCTTAACTAATATCTTCCACATGCCTATTTTGACAGTGTATAGAACTATGTGGGCACTCCACCGGGCAGTTATTCTTAATGTTACAAATGTGGCAGATGAAATCCATATGCTACTAAATAAGGCTCTACAAAATGCGTTAATGACTGCAGACTTTTAAAATAAGATAATTTTGTGCTTTATTGAGCCTCCCAAATTATTTTGATTTTCCATTTAGTGATCAGGGATGTGTAAGATTAGATACTGTGTATTTGCCTCCATCTCTACCCCCCAATTTTAAATGCAGCATGCATTTAAGAGGAAGATAAAGATTAAGAATGCTGTAGACTTAACCATGACCTTTAATTCAAATGTTTTAAAAAGATTTATGCCCTGACCGGTTTGGCTCAGCGGATAGAGCGTCGGCCTGCAGACTAAAGGGTCCCAGGTTCGATTCTGGTCAAGGGCATGTACCTTGGTTGCGGGCACATCCCCAGTGGGGAGTGTGCAGGAGGCAGCTGATCAATGTCATCGATGTTTCTAACTATCTCTCTCCCTTCCTCTCTCTAAAAAATCAATAAAATATATTTTTAAAAAAAGATTTACACTTAGGTGAATTCTCCTGACAGAAGGGTCAGCCACACTCCGTCCAAAGGAGAATTTATGTGCTGTGACTACCCTGGCTCCCTGAGAATCTCCCCCGGGGACAATACAGGGCACCTTAGCACTGGGTAGTGTTTCTCCTTCCTACGTGTATCAGAGATTCCTTACAGGCTTAAGAAAACGAAAGAATAGAGTTTATTAAAATGTTTCACTAGAGCAGGAAGAAGTAGTTAATTTTAACGATGAAACTGAACACTTACAAGCAAAGGCCAAAATAGAAAGGTAATTATTCGATCAAGCCTGAGCATATATAAAATTATGAAAAATAAAATAATGGTGACTTCAAATCCAGTGATAACAATGTATGGTTCGGGGGCCTGTGTGATGATGAAAAAGGTCATAGATGTCGCCGTTAGTGCCTGTAAGGAAAAAACACACAGATCTGACTTATCAGTGATTATTGAATACAAGCGTAAGCTGTTAAAAATGATCATTTCTAAAATACCCAAATAAACCGGTTTCTGCCGTACACACATCTAAAAGGCATGACTGAAATGCATGGATGTGTGCATCCGGCGGAAACCATTTATCTAGCTATTCACGACATTCCCTATAGCGACTCACCAAGTGCTCATCTGTGCCTGTTACCTTGCTTTCTGGGAATGTACTACCTTCCCAAGTGGCCGTGTAATTTGGGGAACTTTCCCAGTATAACGTTCTTCCTCATCGTAAGCAGAACTGCTTCCCTGTAGTAACTTTGAACTATTTCCACCTCATCTCCTATTAGGTCACTGCTTTAAAATTAAATTTCTTTCCCTTCCCCCTTTTTCTTGAACTCCTTCAGCACAGTCTCCTATGGCAGTGGCCACTTCTCTCACTAGCCGGGTCACCTTCCTCCCCACGAGGATTCATTCTCTCCGAGTGTCTGTTCAGAACTGACCGCCGTGCTCCTGTAGGCCCCACACTCCAGGCTCTGGGCTGAATGAGCCCTGAGCTCGGTCACATCAAACTTCTGACCGAAAGTAAAGAAGCACCGCATCCGCCGAAACCGGTTTGGCTCAGTGGATAGAGCATCGGCCTGCGGACTAGGGGGTCCCAGGTTCGATTCCGGTCAGGGGCGTGTACCTGGGTTGCGGGCACATCCCCAGTGGGAGATGTGCAGGAGGCGGCTGATCGATGTTTCTAGCTCTCTGTCCCTCTCCCTTCCTCTCTGTAAAAAATCAATATATTAAAAAAAAAAAAAGCACAGCATCCCCTGAAACCCCTGAGTCTTCTTACCTTGCTGGCTTCTGAGTGGTACAAGTGCAGGTGCAGCTGCCTCACCTGGTAGCCTGGGGACCTGGCTTGGGGTCCAAGCGCAGGCCATCCAGGTAAGTAGGCTGACTTTGCGTTATGAGTGCGCAAAGACAGTGCCTTATCGCTCTCCTTCCCGCTGGGATGCCTCGCCTCTAGGGCGGCCTTGATAAAAACAAGGTTGGAAGAGAAGACGGGGCATTCTACTTCCTACTTGACACCCATCACTGCCCCTGAGCACCTTGCACGCCGCCCTCCACCCCGCGGCCGGCGCTCACCAGCCGCAGCATCTTCACAAAGCCTTTCACGCTACAGCAGAAAGGGCGATGCTCCATGGCGCCCGCAGACCCAGCAGCAGCACTGGCCCTTCAGCCCCCCTCCACGAGGCCTCCTGCGAGAGACCGCAACGGCAGCAGCCGCCTCGCACCCCCCCCCCTCCCGCCCTTCCAGGCTAGGGGTCCCCTTCCGCTCTCACGCGCGTGCACGTGTCTGCACGGCCCGCACTAGTGCGCATGCGCCCTAGCCGGTTCTCCCTGGCAAGCTGCATTCTTGCAAAGTGCCAGTTCCCTATGAGCACCTCCCCGCCCTGCCAGGTACCGATGGCAACTGCTCTCCAGCTCTCCACAGTAATTTCCCGGTCAGAAAGCCTCCCTAAGGGAATGGTGGGGAAGTGAGGGAGGGTGGTCCAGGAATGTTTGTCCTGCCACCCCATACTCTGGACATCACCCTCTCCTCATAGCATTTATCATTAGTGGACATTGTCGATATCTTTTAAAAAATATATTTTGAATGATTTCAGAGAGGAAGGGAGGGAGACAGAAACATCAGTGATGAGAGGAAGTCAGTAATTGGCTGCCTGCTGCCTGCACTGCATGGGATCGACCCTGGCTGGTGTGGCTCAGTGGTTGAGCATAGACGTATGAACCAGGAGGCCCCGGTTAGGTTCTGGGCTTAATAATATAAATTGCACAAAAGCAGGGACCTGCCAGTCTGCTTCTCTCCCTGCAGGATCCCCAGGACCTGGCATATGGTAGATACAGAATTTGTGTTGTCTGAAGGCCTGGCCGGGGCCTCCTACCCTGTCCCTGCCCTCAGGGAACCACTATCTGGTTTGTGAGCTTGTTTGCTCTGTATATTTTTATTTTGGCCGCTCACGCACTGGTGCTTGTTCTTCCATAGAACCGCCTGTAGCCCTTCAGACACTCAGTTCAATTTGTGTTTTCCACTCGTGCTCCCATGAAGCCATTGCTCCACCATCACCGAGCCTTTCTTTTTAGGGATGTGGAGTATGTGTGGCTCCTTTGATGTGATTTATATTGTCCTGGATAACTTGGCCGTCACCCCCATCCATTCAGACCTCTTTGGGTCCTGCCCATCTCAGCTTTAGTCCATCTCGTCCAGTCAAATCCGATCAGCCTGTAATGACAACAGCCTCATGTCACATCACCACAGTTTTGAACTTTGCTTTGAAGTTTGTGTGTGTGCCAGGTCTGTGGCAGATATTACAGGAAGCACCATGTGGGCTTGCGGCTGGCTGGTAACAGATGTCGAGGCTGAGTGAGCCCTCTCACAAATGACTTCCTTTTCTCTGTCCACCGGGTGACTTCCAGCACCTTGCACTCCTGGGAGAGGTGGGGAACCCCTCCACCCCAGCACTGGAGCAGGCACGCACAGGCACTGCTCCTTACCAAAACAGCCTGGGCTGCAGGGCCTCAGCTACCTCACACCTGGGCTGATTTTTTGCTACCTGACTATGGATGGGTTTTACAGGCTTCCTCCCCACCCCTTAGTCCAAAGTTGCTTGTGCCTTTGTTAAAAGATAAACTGAGGCATATTAAAACGTTTATTTGAGCAAAAATCGATTTGAATCAGGCAGCATCCAGTGTAGCAGATAGGAGCTCTGAAAAGCTGTTCAAAATGGAGGACTTTTATAGGCAGAAGGGAGCAGGAACAAGGACGTTATACCAGGCAAAAAGGGTGGCTGGTTATTGTAGGCTACTTTCTTTTAGGGGGTAGCAGGGGTCTTACCTGCCAGATGCCATTTCCGGGAGAGCTGGAACTATAATTAAGCTAGGTCTTGGTTTGGAAATGTGGGCTTAGCATAAGAGACTCCATTTGGGGCCTGTTGTCTTGCTCTTGTTTTATTGACATACTAGAGGCCCTGTGCACAAATTTGTGCACAGGTGAGGTCTGACCAGCCCACCCCAATCTGAGGATTGGGTTGGCTGGGCGGAGGGGCTGCTGGCGTTTGGTGGCCAGCTCTGCCCCCTGGTCAAACTCCAGGTCCAGGGGACAATTTACATATTAGCCTTTTATTATATGGGATAATATCTTATTCATTTCAGGTGTACATAATAGTGACTTGATATTTAAATATATTATGAAATGATCCCCATGATAATTCTGGTTGCCATAATATTGATGGCATTACCATATTATTGACTGCATTCCCAATGCTGTACATTACATACCCATGACTTGTTTATGTTATAATATGAAGTTTGTACCTCTTAATCCCCTCTACCTATTTCATCTGCCCTTCAACTCCTTCCCGTTCTGATAACCACCAGTCGGTTTCTGTTTTGTTTGTTCATTTATTTTATATTCCACCTATAAGTGAACTCTCATATTTGTCTTTCTGTGTCCAATTTACTTCACTTAGCATAATATCCTCTAGGTCCATCCATGTTCATACAAATGGCAAGATTTCATTCTCATTTTATGGCTGAGTAATATTCAGTTGTGTGTATGTGTGTGTGCGTGTGTGTATAAAATTTTTACCCATTCATTTATCAATAGAAACTTAGGTTGCGTTCATATCTTGGCTATTGTAAATAATGCTGCAATGAACATAGGGGTCATATATCTCCTTGAATTAGTGTTTTTGTTTTCTTCATGTAAATATCCAGAAGTGGATTGCTGGATGATAGAGTTCTATTTTTATTTTTTTGAGGAACCTCCTTACTGTTTTCCATAATGGCTGCACCGTTTTACATCCCCACCAGTAATGTACAAGGGTTTCCTTTTCTCCACATCCTCACCAACACTTGTTATTTGTTGTGTTCTTGATAATAGTCCATTCTGACAGGTGTGAGGTGGTATCTCATTGTGGTTTTGATGTGCATTTCCCTGGTATTGAAGAGACTGTCTTTCCCCATTTTATATTCTTGCCTCCTTTGTCATAGATTAATTGACCACATATGCGTGGGTTTATTTCTGGGCTCTCTATTCTATTCCATTGATCTATGTGTCTGTTTTCAGGCCAGCACCATACTGTTTTGATTACCGTAGCTTTGTAGTATAGTTTGAAATCAGGGAGTTTTGTTCTTTCTCTAGATTGCTTTGGCTAGTCAGAGTTTTTTGCAGTTCCATTTTAGGACTCTGTTGTTGTCTTGTTTTTGTTTTGTTTTTTTAAACACCTTCCTGAGGGATCTAGTGCATATACAATACAAAAAAAAAAAAAGAAAAGCGGGGGGAGAGAGCACGATCTAAAAGAGCGTAGATGGCCTTCGCATTCCACCTTATTCTTTAGAAGTCATTAGAAGCATGTAGTTTATGTCGCTGTAGGGGTGCGGAAGGGGGAAGAGGCAAAACTCGACAGCACCACTTCAATATAAGAAGACGAGGAGATTATGAGCGCCGTATGAGCAGCTGCGCAGTGGAACAGCGCTGGATAAAGTCA